CCTACACCGACATCCACACCCATATCTATACCCAAACCTACACCCACCCTTCGTCAAGAGTGGTACGAAAAGTCATTCGCTCGGCCTCTTATGTTGTATGACGATCGTATTCTTGGAATTAGATAGAACTGATTTTGGACCGCTGCTGATTTCGTAATATCCAACATTTTGGTATAGGATGACTACTCCTACATCCTCACACTTATCCACTTCCATACTCCCCAAATGGATCCTTGAGACTCTTCAGGATCTGCCGAAATCCATAGGATCTGCTTTTTGCCCCGGAGTAAAAAGAAGTTATGTTGCAAGAAAACTCCATTTTCATACTCTTTGATTATCTAAGATCTATAAAACCAAGCACGAGTATGAGTGAAACTACTATCTTATTCAGAAAATTATTCATCCAGTAGAGATGTTTTTCACAGAAATGAGCTGTCTACAGTGAACATCACTCATCATCAATGATGAATGCATGAATTTTATTTTATTTAATAGAAAAATGAACAAAAAGACATTGATCAATGTCTTTTATGTTTTAACAACATAGATTTGATAAAGATGCACATTTGTGTTAAAAAAAACACAAGCTTTGCTATATTATACAAAAGGAGACAAAGATACATATTCTGAATGAAGTATACAAAAACAGAAAAAAAAGAGATTGAATACAATATAAAATTATAGATAGACAGGTGCCTGAAAAAGATAAGAGATGAGAAAAAAAGCTGCTGACGGTTTGATGATGAATATAATTTATATGAGCATATGCCAATGACGTAGTTATGTCGTGCCAATAAATTCACATGCGCAATCGATGACGTGCTTTTATATGTGTGTATAAAAAAATATAAATGATCGATGAAAGCAAATTTATTTTGCAGAGGCACTACAATAACACGTTCATTAAATTAATCATCAGTCATGTTTTGTTTTGTTTTTATTTCTGTAAGATTAGCTTCCATTTTCGAGTCACTTCATTTAAATATAGATGAAAATTGAGCTGACTAAAAACTCTTTCATTGGTATTGTGAAGTCTTTAGGAAATAGATAACGGGAGGGTATGGGTGTAGGTCTGAATATCTGGTATACATGAAAATTATATCAACATCCACACCCAGTGTTTTTAATATGAATCTGAAGTATAGTACCTTTCGTCACATCGAATGTGTAACCAAAGTACCATTTGGTGTTTTGTTTCAAATTGCAAAGTACTATACCATGCCAAAGGTAAATAAATGTGGAAACTTCAGATTTTATCCGAAAATTATGTGTACTGCAAAAAGTGAATGAGACAGATGAATCATTCTAGAATGTCTGGACACTAAAATCATTATAAGAAATCTTTTGTATGAGCGTGATTTCTATGGTCCATTGCTCATCCAATAGTATTTGAGGCCAAATAAACTAAATAGTAACTATTCTTGATTACAGACTGTCATTCCAATTCAGTTTTCAATCGAACTAGTACAGATTGAAAATTTTAATTATTTACCACTAAACTTAAGTTGTGATTGCTGTTTTGCTTCGGTCGTCTTTAGAATTTGAATAACTATGTTATATAGCTCTGCTTTGATCACATATTTACTGTGTTTGTTTCAATTTCATCAATCCCACAAAATCATTAATTCCTATTTATAATGCTGATTTCATTATATTAAGATAGATTTTAAAAATTTTCAATTCTATTAAGCATCACTATATGACCAATAAATGGATTTTGTCTTGATTTTAAACTTAATAAAAATAAATCGAAAGTATTTTGTTAATATCTATTACTATTTCACTATCAATTCATAATTGTTATGTACGATCAATGATATCGACTGGTTCATATTTATTCATTGATAATCACTTTCATTTATAAATTCTAAAATAATTTATCAACACAATAATTTTATTAGACAAACATTCCGACTTAAGTATAAAGTTTCATAATCAAAATTAAATAAATATTTTCATATTGAATTAGTTTCAAGACCATCTAACAATTAGTAAATTATCTCTCTCGATATATTTTTATTGTTTATAATTCTATTTAATAGTTTTTCATAAAAGTCGATTTTATTCACAATCTTACAAATGAAAAAAGAAAAAATTCCATTATATCTTATCAATATTAAATAAATGAATTATGAATTCAATCTACATTAGAATATTTTCATTAGATTTATTTTGTTTTTAATGATAGATTATTGAACTTATTTCGATTACATTTCGTCTTTTTCTTTCGGAGTAAAATATTATCGAATAAAGAATTTAATTGTACTTTTAGAAAAGTTGTTTTAAAGAATTTAAGAGATAAAAGTTAAAGTAAAAGTATTGATGTTGAGTTTCTAATTAACTTGTTTTGTTTTTATTAATTATATTTGTAAATTATCTTTTCTTCATCAGGGCAAATATATAATTATCTATTTTTTTTAATAAAAAAAAACCTCATCAACATTTATTCGTTACGAAAATATTTATATAAAAAAAATCTTTTGGCTAGATATATCTCTAGTTTATTTATTATAAAGTTTCTAAAAATTCTGTTCATATCGAATAATTTTCTTTTTATAGAAATTCTATCAATTACATTATTTATCACTAATCATAGGTTATTTTTTTATAATAATATAATTTAGTTTCATTGGTGAGTGTGTATGTGAAGTAAAATTTAATTTATCTACATCTAAATCTATTACGTCGAAGGTTGATAAGAATGAGTAAGAGAATTTAAATGTGTGAGAGTATGAATAAGAGAGATAGAAGATTGTCTTATGCCTCTATTGACGAAACTCATCTATTCGCACCCATACTTTGTCTATTAGTAAAGGCATAGACCAATCATGATAAAGTCCATCTTTTTTTGTTTTATATTAATATCTATTGTGAATCTTTCGAAAAGAATAAAAGATAAAATTAAAAAAAACAAATAATGAGTTAGCTAACACAACAAACGAACGCGCAAAGATAGAATTGCGAAGTTTTATTAAAATATAATAGTTCTAATGGTTTCTTCGTAACTATTTCATTTGCTATTCTGTAAATTTACTTTTTACAATACAAGAAAGAAAAAAAAGAGTCCACAAAATTTCAGCTATGCAGCATGCGATAATATGTAAAATCTCTCTAACTATATGAGAACTGAAGTCATATTGTTTGCTTACCATTTTCTTATCAGAGAGCAAAGAAGATATGACGCTTTAACAATTACATTCACTCGATTCACAAGCGAAAAATGGATGAGACAGGTAGCACAACAAATAACGAGGTAGAAGCTGTAAACAGTGTTTCAGAAGCTGAAAACAATGTTCCAGAAGCTGAAAGCAATATTCTAGAAACTGTAAACACAGCTCCAGAAGCTGATAGCAATATTACAGAAGCTGTAGACAATATTCCGGAAGATGTAAACAATGTTCCAGAAGCTGAAAACACAGTTTCAGAAGCTGAAAACAGTATTCCAGAAGCTGTAGACAATATTCCAGAAGCTGATAGCAATATTACAGAAGCTGTAGACAATATTACAGAAGCTGAAAACAATATTCCAGAAGCTGTAAACACAGTTCCAGAAGCTGAAAACAATATTCCGGAAGCTGTAAACAATGTTCCAGAAGATGTAAACACAGTTCCAGAAGCCGTAAACAGTGTTCCAGAAGCTGAAAACAATATTCCGGAAGCTGTACATAGTGTTCCAGAAGCTGTAGACAATATTCTAGAAGCTGAAAACAATATTCCGGAAGCTGTAAACACAGCTCCAGAAATTGTAAACCATGTTCCAGTAACAGAAAGCATGCCTCCACCAAGTTTCAGTTTCGCGGATCCAGTGGCCATTAGTGTACAGAATGCGCCTCCACCAAGTTTCAGTTCCGCGGATCCAGTGGCCATTAGTGTGCAGAATGCACCCCCACCAAGTTTCAGTTCCGCGGATCCAGTGGCCATTAGTGTGCAGAATGCGCCTCCATCAAATTTCAGTTTCACGAATCCAATGGCCACCGGTGTACAAAATGTGCCACCACCAGCATACACACCTTACGGGCAGTTCGCACTACCTCCAGCTGGTTATCCTCAAGCTGGACAGCCTCAAGTTGGTTATCCTCAAGCTGGTTATCCTAAAGTGAATCAAGCACAGCCGCAGCGAATGCCTAATAATATGGTGTTTGCACCTAATCAAGGTGCTGCTAACGTCAACGATTTCCTGGCATGGTCAATTTTTAACTGTCTATGTTGTTTATGGCCTTTAGGCCTCATTGCCATATGTTTCTCATGTATCGTAATGGAAAAGAAGAAAGGTAACGATGTGCAGAGCGCTAAGTCGCTGTCAATAGTAACTGCTGTATTGAACGTCATTGCTACTATCGGTGGTATTGGTATGCTTATCTATTTCGGCATGAACTATAGTAAGCTTTGACGCAGTACATACTAAAGACTCTTTCGCTACCATCTACTTATTCAAAGCATTATGTTATTCATCTATCTATTAATGTGATTTTTTATTTTTGTTAAAAAGAAATAAATAATATTTTAATAAGAAAATGTCTTGAGATGTAAAAATTGCTGTTAGATAAGTCTAAATGAGTAGTGAAAGAAATATGATTCATCTGGGCATCTGAAGAAATGTATTTTGCTTAAAAATTTTCAATTATTCTTGTAGCTATAAGAATTAATCATTAAATTCGATCGATAATTTCTGGTCATGGGTTAAAAGATCAAAAATGGTGCAAAGCTTTAAACTTTAAAAGTATAAAGGTACACAGATTTGTTGCTCAATTCATCATACACACACCCAAGTCTCAGATATCTTTTATAAAATATATTATTAGTAAATAAAATATCATATCAATGAAATTAAATTTTTTTTCCCAACAAATTATATTTCACACAGCTTCATAAAATAATAAAATATGTTTCATTGACAGGTCCTTGTACTATATGATAAAGAATAACCTATTGCTCAGTATTGTTTCTTGAAGCTCTATAAAGTTTAATTTCAATAATTATGTAACAAAACCATAGCCAATGTAAGATAAATAATTTGAAGAATAATTGATATACGAGCAGATACTAGAGATGAATATAGATAAACAATAAGAAAACCAGCGCTTTGAACAAGTATTAGCAATGAGAAAGCGTTGTCTTTCTTCTCAGGTAACATGGAATTGTACAAAGCTAAAATAAAACTCAATAGACGTTGTCACTATCAATAGAATATTCAAAATTCTATAACAAACCTGTTATATACGGTTCCGTTATAGAATCTGCAACATTTGATAAGCATGGTAAAATAAAAAGCACATAGGTTTGCGAAACTGTCGGTTTCCATAGAAGCATTACTATAAACGTTGTGTAACTGAACAATGCTGCCATCAGAAAACATATAATACGACTATATTTTAGTTCAGTTATACAGGCAACAATTATAGAAGAGATAAAGGCTGTCACACCATATATTGTCATGATAAGTCCTAGAAATGAAAAGTGATAAACTGTATCGAAAATATATTCATACACACCAACATATTGAATACCAATTGTACAAGTAATAAAACTCTATTAAAATAAAAATTTAAATTAACATATATCGGAAAAACGCATGATGAAAGTGAATAACTACAGAATCTCAATCGATTTTTTTACTACGTCTTTTAAGCTACTATTGTTTAATATTCATACATTTGTAAAAGCACCGATAATAAATGCTTCTGGAGCAACAGTCCAAAATCCAAGTGGTATCAAAAGAAGATGATTTGGTGTTATTATATCTTTTACGGTTGATAATGTGTAATTCAATGATTTATGAAATAAACTTTTCGATTGATCTTCTAAAGTAATAGATAATATTTAAATTCGATGAAACAATAGATATTTTATAATTAAACTTACTTTCCATGTCTCGTCTTTGACTTAGAAAAGCAATAACAAGTATCATAGATACCAAGATAATCCCAATCAATACACCGAAAAGAATATAAATCTAAAGAAGAATTTTCTAAGTCAATGTTTGTTTATAAATGTTAGTATTACCGTTTTATTCGACACATGAACAATTTCGTCTATGACTTGATGATTATTTGGCATAAAATTTGCACCACATAGTGTTAAATTAGTATTAACAGCTGATGACGTTTTTCGTAAAATGAAATACGATACTAAATTACCCCAAATCTGCGCTAGTATTTTTAATATAAATATGAAAATAAATTTAAATTAGTTAACTTTGATAAAAAACAAAACATACTTGACTGATATGCAATAAGGAAAATACTATAATATTTTGTAACTTTTTCATCAACTTCATCATTGTCACTTTTATCAACAGCTAGCAGCGTAATATAACAATCATGAGCTGTTGACATAGATGCGTGCAAAATTCCAGATATAGCGGACACTAAATGAGAAATATTGGTGATGATTTATTAGACAAAATATTTACTTTACTTACTAGGTAATAGTAACCATTGTTTAGGATACATACTAGCTGCAATATATCCTATCATACCAATTTGTCCACCAAAGATTGACCATTTGTAACCGAAAATATGCATAATTAGAGTAGTAAAGAAAAGACATGCAAGTATAGAAACACCATAAAATACTACCAATGAATGAAGACCAACATCATCGGATGAATTAAGACTTGATTGCAAATTAGTTACAGCATCGAATGAAGTGAATGCACAAGTGTAAGCTAAAGAAATTATTAATAGATTACGTTTTGTACCACCTCTTCTTCGAACATCGCTACTCTTTATTGCAATTTCTTTGTCTTGATCCATTTATTCTTTACAATAATGCCTAAAATTAACAAATGGTAATAAATGATCATAGGTATCACCAAATGATGAACACGTATTATTGTTTCTGTAGAACAAATACATTACATACCTTCAATTTCACACTTATAAAGAAACTCCTTACTCTCTAACCTTTTTTTTAGTTCTGGTCTGCGGAATAAAACACGAGTTCAATTGATAATGAATAGTTAGAAGTGAATGTAGAGTGGAGAATTCATTCAAAGTGACACTTTTCAGAATACTTGAAATAAATCTATTGAATATTTATCTACATACCTTCTTAATATCAATGCTAGTTTCAAATACGTTACTTAAATAAAAGGTATTGAGTATAAAATAATACGTATAGTAAATAAATGGAGATATGTATATAGACAATAATAATTGTATGTAGCTATTTTACATAATACAGATGTGTAACTGACAGCAATTATATCATCAATGAAAATATAAGAAATTGGTAAGAAAATTATTCGTTTTTATGTATAAAAAAACACGCATGTTATGATAGAAACCAATCTATCGACTTTCTCTACGCACAACTATAACTATAGTGTCATATTTGTATTCTTTTGTCATTAATATAATGCTGCATGAGTCATCTAATACATATACACATAGATAAGTTTCTTAAAAAGAATTTTTAATAGGTTTTTAACATCATGACTTTTACGATGACAAAATTGAACAAGTGATAACTATTCATACAAAAATTATTTTAAATAAATGATTACAATATTTTTCAGTAGCTCCTGTTAAAATACAGTATTAGAAAAAATATCGGTATCAAGAGTATATATCATATGTATGAAATCATTAAGACAATAACTATCGTAAATGAATTGTTGAGTGTAATTCGTAGTATTTGTGCATCAGTAATAGTATCAAATTACTTAATTTCTTCGTTCAGTTATTACCCAAATTAGCTATGTACATGTCTTATAATCAGAATATTTTCGATTTATGATAAGTTTGGTGTCTTCATTGGAATACTAGTAGTTTGAGTTGGTACAATTTTCCGAGAGTTGTTGATCTTGCAAGTCATCAACATGATACATTCTCGTCGAAAGTCTTTGAATGTAATAAAATAAAGTGGAAATGATGTTATATGATAAGTATAAAGAGCTGAATCGAGTATTTTTTCTAGAATACCAGTTGGTGTAGTAGCAAAAAATGCAGCATCTATTGTTGCTGGTATTGTCATAATCAAAAAGAGAAATGTTGTGATTATTAATGTAATTGATATGGCTCGATATTGAATAGTTGAATTTTGAATTAATTGTACTAGACGACGATGTATCAAATGATAGATAACACCACTATTAAATATGACCATCAATATGAATGGTGCACAGTTGTATACACCTAAATTGACATAATCCCACAATGGATATATTTCATATAATTTAGCATTAGGATTAATTGTACCATCCGATGAATAATAGCAAGTAAAAATTAAAAAATGACAATTAAGTAAAGTAGTAATTGTAATAATACAAGTAATGATAATGAGAACACTTTTTTGACGACTAAACCATGTTCGATGTAAACGACTTGTTATTAAATAACGATCAAAACAAATGAAAACTCGAAGCCAAGCTGATGATTGTGCAGCAAAATAATTGAGAAATCCAAATATTTTACATGTTGGTATTGAATATGTTAAAAGTGTAAATCCATGTACAATAGAAAGATAATGATCAAGATTCCATCCATATAACATGAGAATATCAAAAACAGCTATAGTGCGCATATAATAAATGATTGGCTGTTTTTTTGTATTTCTGAATGTGGGTCGACAAAGAATGATTAATGTGAATAGATTCAAAGAGGTGCCAACAATAACCAACGATAATGGATAATACGCAACAAACAGAGATTCAGTCAGCTGTGTACCTGTTGTCGTTGTATTAGACATAGTGGAATAGAATTGGAAGAGTTGCAATGAATCTAAAAAGTTCAAAGAAAGAAAACTTTATCTATGTTCACTATAGTTTAATCAGACGGCTTAATATTTTCAATGTCTATATTTATTCAACTGTGAACGAAATAGATATTTATAACTTGTATATTAGCCAAAGCTCTTTCTAATGGTGTCGTTTTAAATACACGTAACAAAAGCTATTATCAAGTTGTGTTAAATGATCGAGACGATACATACAAATATTCTATCACTAATTATCAAACTTCCTCATTCATTGTTGCCTTTATATACATAATAGATACGATGTTATTTATAGATTTCACAACAAGCTTTTCCATTTGCTATCTTATATCTAGAGTAGACGATTGATTTCTTCCAGTTTGAAATAATTTAAACTAAAGAATTCTTTACTATCAATTAAAGATAAAAGGAAAACAAAAATTTTTCTCAACTATGACTAATAAACATTTCAAATAACTAACTTACTACAGTTGTTACAGAATCTAATAGAAAAGAAGAAAATTTTCTCGCACAATGGGAGATACAAAAATTCTGGGAAAAAGGTCAACAACTTCTATGACTTTTTTCATATATCTTTTTTTAAGGCTCCTATGCGGTGCATGTTCGAGCCGGTACTTTTAAATGTTTACTTTATTAACGGAAAGAAAGAATCACAAGTTTAATAACACTCAAATCTCGCGAAAAATACGTGCTTAATTATATAAATATATAATAAAGAAAGGACTTGATCATGTATTGCGTCTTGACATGTTCCTTCAAGCACACAAAACCTACAAATATATCGATCAAGCCCGAATCAAAATACTGGAAAAACAGTGCTCTATAAATATCGTAAAAAAGAAAAAGATAAACACGTATGTAAATTATTACTAATAATTGAAAAAAGCCTGTCCAATAATTCAGCGAAAAAAAAACAAAGATAAATTTTGATATAATTTATAAGTTTACTACGAGTGTCCTATAATTCTAGTAAAAATGCAAACAATAAATTTTAATATAAA